TGGATCTATACAGACTGAAACTATCCCACTGGAAGGGTGATACATGATGAGTGACTGGATTACTTCAAGGATTTGATCACCATAAAGTCTAACCTACATAGGAACTTTTTGGTAGCCACTAAAGAAGCCTGAAAAATCTGTTTTCAGAAATCAAAATAAGTCATATTAGTCTTTCAGCAATACTTCCTACTGTCCATTACCCACACAAAACCCTACTGTAGGAGGGAGTGACCTGTGTAAATGGCCTTCCTCAACTCTTATGACTGAAAGAATGCTTTCGGAGTTTTGTATTGCTTGTCTTTTTAATTTAAGAATTCTTCAATCAAATGGGTAGGAACAAATAAATGCCTCTCTGCCACCATTCATTCATTAGGAGAGTTTTACTTTCATTTCTGCCTTTTTACTGGCTTTGCTTTGGATTGAGCTATTTAAAAGTATTCTCTTGTCATACTCCTCAGTCATTAAAAAAAGAATAAAATAATGCCATTTGCAGCAACATGGATGAACCTGGAGATTGTCTCAATAAGTGAAGAAAGCCAGAAAGAGAAAGAAAAACACCATATGATATCAATTGTATGAGGAATCGTAAAAAAAAAAAAATGACACAAATGAACTTCTTTACAAGACAGATTCACAGACATAGAAAACAAACTTATGGTTACCAGGGAGGAAGCGGGGTAGGGGTGGTGGTGGGATAAATTGGGAATTTGGGATTTTCAGATACTAACTACTATATATAAAACAGATAAACAATAAGGTTCCCTGTATAGCACAGGGAACTATACTCAAAACCTTGTAATAACCTAAAATGAAAAAGAATATAAAAAGAACATATATACGTATAACTTAAACATTATGCTGTACACCAAAATTAACAACACTGTAAACCGACTATACTTCAATAAAAAAGAGTAAATAAACAAATAAATGCATTCTCAGAGCCCAAAAGGGTTAAATATAAACAGATGTTGACAGGGTGGGATTCAAATGTGCTTGTGTCCACTGAATTGACTGCTTATTTTTTAATGAAAAGGGGAAAAATAACAACGTAAAAGTAATGAGTAATTAAAAAACTATAATTGAAAAATTTTTTTAGAAAAAAGTGAAAGAGCTACATGCGACTTTTTGTTGTTGCTAACTTTGCTATATAACAACTGGGGATGTTGAGGATTCATTTTCCATCATCAGTGCTGGTGAGTGAGATGCTCAAGGGCATCCCCAGCTGGGGCTGATGCAGCGCCAGACAGCTCTCACTCCTCTAAAAGGGAATCATCAATAGAAGCATAATGGCGCTTCAATGTCCTGGGGGAGGTCTAGGCACTGAGCAAACTGGATACCTATCCAGTGTCAAAAGAAGGGCCCTTCATTCAGATCCACTGCCTGAAGAAATAAAAGCCTCCTGCGGCTTGTTTTGAGGATTTGTCCAAAGCTTGAAATCCCAGCCATTGTTTAGGCTAAATACCTGTGACTATATCTGGCCTAAGGACCAGAAGTTGCCCACCTTGGATTGAGATGCTTAAAGATGCTACTTGGATTCGTAGAGAAAGTGCAGATCATCTCTTTCTCCTATAATTCCTCTAATATTTGAGAATCAAGAAGCTAAAGGGCAGGGG